AGACAACTTAAGATCCACACATCCAGGAGATTCTTCTATAATTTATTAAATTAAAAGCTATAATCTGCCTTAGAGAGACCCAACCTCCTCGTTTCTTCTATAAAAAATAATCAGCCTTTCAAGGCTTTTCCACAGGAAGGAAAAGGGGTTCTACAGATATTCAGTACGATTTTAGAGTGTTCGTAGGCGGAGTTCACTCCATTTTTTCGTAACTCTGCGAAAAAGTCATCCACTTGGTGTTCTGAGATCAGAGAGCTCTATCGTCCACCAGTTTGGGCTTACTCTCTCGAGGACCCACTCAGCGCGTACAAGCTACCAATGGCGCTGTTCCGTTTGAATTTCTTCACGATAACATATAACGAGCTTTCAGTGAAATCAAAGCTCTCTTTAGCGACTTTTGGGAGTAGATAATGCAGTTTTGACCAGCTTCGATATTCTCGGTACTTCGGCCAACCTGTTGTCTCATTGGAACGAAAAAATTTAATAGTGTATGTGTAGACTCACAAAAATGGAAAAAGTGGTATATAAGCTCTCAGGTTGCAGTCACCAACTCCGTTAGTAATTTTTATACCCGAGCGCGCTTGGGCACAGGACTATTATAACTTTGTTTACATAACGGTTGTTTGTAAAAGTTAAAACGAATCGTGATATAGACAAATGTATACATTAATGATCAGAATGAAAAAAGAAATCGATTAGGCGGTTACTGTCTGTCAGTCTGTCCGTCTGTCTGTGTACACGATTCTCTCATTTCTCTCAAAGTTAGCGTAGTTGTTGGCCTTGGTACCACATACAAAACAGCTGAAAATTTTTGAAATCGGACAATAACCACGCCTACATTACATATAACGGCAATTTAGGGAAATACGAAGTCTTCGATAAATCAGTAAATTTTGAAGCTAGTCTATTCAAAATTAATGTTTGCAATAAGTCTTTATCAAAAAAAAATACGTTTCTGGTAAAAATTTGGAAAATGGGCGTAGCCCCGCCCACTTATGACCCCATATGTATATCTCGGTAACCGTCCGATCAATTTGTACCAAACTCGGTGCGATTGTTGTGCTTGCGACATAAAAGCAAAATCTTGAAAATTATTGCAATCGCACCATAATTACGCCCTTTTTCATATACCGGTAAATTTAAAAAATGCTTGAAACTTCGATATTTCCAAATTTATTAAGTATGCTCTAAATTAATACTAACAACAATCCCTTGAAAAAAATAACATAATTATGGAATTTTGGAAAATGTGCGTGATAACGCCCACATATAACTATATAAGTTTATCTCATTAAGTATGTATAACTGAACATACTATCGCAATTTGTTAGAAATTGGGGTAAAACCACTCTTCTTACCATGTGGCGGTAGTTTTCGGAATGGTGAGAAAACTTTATTTAATATTTGCTTGTTAAATATGTATTTGTGAATATTCTTCGTTCATGTACTACAAAAATATACTAATAATGAAAATATTGCTTTTACTTAAGAACAGTTTAGTAATCGCTTAAAGATTGCGTTCACAATAAAACATAAATTTGTCAAATTCTTATCGAAAAATACGATTCCATATGCATGGCCCTTAGCCATCATCTTGCATTAGGCGTATTATTATATTTACTTGTTATCAGATTGTTTACAAACGAAGCACTTGAATGAGTAGATTCACGCGTCATATGCCGTGTAAGCAAGTTTAAATTGGCTTATGGCGTTTTCGTTTCTACAAAAAAACTTGCCTCCTCTTCTTGGCCCGCTTTTAAACTAGTGTTTGTGCATAGAGGGCAAAGAGAAGGTTACATTTTTCGGTAGAAACGCTGTAAGTAATAAAAAAATAAATTATTCAATTTAGGACTGAGTGACAGTCAACGCTTATTAATTTATTAGGCATAGAAAATTAGGCATAGGTTGGTGTATTGAAAACTTCCCTGCAGGAAATGTATCTAACTATAAGCTAACTTTAAGTTGATTAGGAAGGAGTTATAAGTCACAAACAGATAACAAATCTGTATATTTTCTTTGACGAAAGTTAACTATATTTCTATGGCGATGGCCGCGAAATAGTCAAGGGTGATTTACCTCTGCATTTGATGTAGTCAAGGGTGGTTACCTCTGCTTTTGATGTAACTAACTTGTAACTAACTACTTTTGGGTATAAAATATCAATAGGAAAAACCAAATATTTATTATTTATTTTTATTTTTTTTTTAATATTTACTTTGTTTATTTTATCACATTTCATATTTGTTTACATATTCTGCTATAGGTGGTCCCATATGACAAATTTCGCTCTTCATTTTATTTGTCCTCAATTCGAAAAAGTATTTGCGAAGTGCAGGATATTTAAATAGAAACTCGTTTAAAGAAAACAATCTCGAGCTTTACTCCTGCATTACTTGTCCACTTGTTTCAAGTTAGCCTTTGTAGCTAACTACAAGTTTTACATTATATAGAAATCCCGCAAAAAAGCTAACTACAAGTAGGTTATTTTTTATCAATTGATAATTTGTTTCTGCAGATTTTTGAAGGTTAGTAGGCATGTAGTCGTACATACACACAGATCTGCACATACATATGTAAGTGTTCAAACAGCTCCCAATTCAATCAAAATACGAGCACAGAACTTTATGGCGTTGACATATTGCTTTACAATTCAGCATATTGCTTTCCGCAACTCGAGTAGCCATGATTCATAAATTTCATGATACGTATTTCTTATTGTACTTTTATTGCAGTTAGTTAGGCTTCGATAACGTTATTTGTATTCAAGAAGTAGTTCAAGTGTTTGTTGTGCTATTGTAACAAAACAAAAATAGGGGTATTCTCGAAATCTTGCAAAGCCGTTGCATGTAGCATCGATTGTGCGGATGCATAATTTGCAAACACACAACAACAAAATACATGGGAAACAGCATTTCCTATAACTGCAAAGTAGGCAACGTCTGGACCCATGCACATATTTTGCAAAAAAGTATAGCAAGATAAATGCGACTCTGTGCTAACTGTTTTGGTGTTTGAATTGCTACATATTTCTCTCATTTCTCTCATCCTGCTCGCTTCATTTTTTTAACCGACTTCAAAAGAAGTAGGAGGTTATCAGTTTGCCGAATATTTTTTGTTTTTTATGTATGTTACCGCATAACATTGGACCGCGTTAACCGATTTCGATAACTTTAGATCCGATAATTGGACCGTGAAGAAATTAACGATAATCTCAAATTTTTATATGAGAATTCAAGTCGGTTTTGTTCTTTGCTTAAAAATTACTTGTTTCTCTATCTTATTATTGTACTTGATATAGAATTTCGCTGCTTGCTACCTATGCATGCTACCACTTTGCAATAGGGTGCTCTCGTACCCATGGAACGTGCAAGACTTTGAGAATACCCCTAATTTGTTTCGATGTCTTTTTTTATGCTCATTTTACAAAGCCAATTAGGTTGTTTGTAAAAATTTTACAACTGTACAGGTGATAAAAAAATTGAGCTGGAGATATGGAAAATAATACTCAAATGTAAATCACTTTTAACTAAAATAGTTCCAGATATCGATGACAAGGTCTATAAATAGAACTATGAAATAGTCTCGAAAATCTGGAAATAGTTCCGAGAGTCCCAAAATAGCCTTAAAAATTCTGATTTTGTCCGGATTCAGTCCCGAGAATTCCAAAAAAACTCTAAGATAGCGAAAAAGTTCCCAAATTGAGGTGAGATGAGTTGAGCCGTGGTGAGTTTAAGTGACGTGTGGTAAGAATGGGTGTGATGAGCTCAATTTACATAATACAATATTCAAACTTATCTGAAACGTATGCTTTCTTTCGTTAATCATTTATCATCCATGTAACAGGAATATGTCACAGCAAAGCGTGGCAGGGTACAGCTAGTACATTATAAAAATACAACCACTTACCAAATTTCATCTGGATATCTCGAAAACTGAGAGAGTAGATTGCATACAAACAGACGGACAGACGGACAGGCGGACAGACCGACATGGCTAAATCAACTCAGCTCGACGTTCTGATCAAATAAGTATATATTTTAGGGGGTCTATCTCTTTATATTCTGGTACTTACAAACATAGGACCAAAGTTATAATACCATTTCATGCTCATGAAAGGTATAAAAATGTCAAAAGTACTTAACCCGCTTAAGTTACTTTTAAATTGAATAGGCTATAAATCTGTATACTCAAAAACACTTCGGAGAAAAAAATTTTAAATTTTGATGAATATTTTTCTTTAAGAGTTCTATAAAATCTTAAGCTTAGGTTTACATATATGGTATTTGTAAGGGGATGAACTGTATTTTAATTGAAAAATTTTAAATAATGCTACGATCTTGGTTTAAACTACGTATACTTTATTAAATTTTCATGTTTTATTCAAGAATTTACATATTTATGTAAGTAAATAAAAAGATGTAACAACATCAATAATTATGTTCGCTTTAGTACTCGCATCGAGCTACTTAAGCGGGTTCTTTTAAGTACCCAACCCACCTAAGTACCTCAAAAAGCTGTCATTTTTCGTGTGGTACTTAAGCGGGTTTTACTGTATACATATAAGGTATTGAATCTTCGGCCGACTTATTTATCATTTATACTTCAGTTTTTACTCCTACTGGTTATTTGCATACATTGTTCTACCGGAACAATAACATTAAAACTTGACATTATATTATTTATGGCTCGTAACTAACAGAAAAATATTTCAAAGCAATTTTGTACACTTTCATAATTGTTCTAGCAATCTCATACAGCTAACATATTAAAATTTCTGAGTAAAAGTTTGTAACCCAAGACCTGCCTCTACCACCCGTAAATAGGGTGTATAAATACTGAGAACTTTCAGTAACTTCAAGTTTTCGTGGAATTTTGAAGGGCGCCAAGCGGTTTTAAGTTAAGTAGAAAACAGCAGTTTGAGTCTTCTTACCAACACAGTGACAGTGCAAATGAAGTCTTTTAAGTTATTTCTGTCCTACATTTGTGTTTTGGCATTTATTATGATTAACTTTGGCTATTCTTCTGTGGTTCAAAAAGGAAACACTTGCTATTCAAACGTGCAACGAAAAAATGATGGCGCCCGAAGGGCATATGAAAATAAGCTAAGAAGTTGTAGTGAAAATAACCAAATTTGCTTAGAAGCTGCTGAAAAAGAGTATAAGTTACTGAAGGAGCGATTTATCAGACAATTTGAGCTATGCGTAACAGCTGAATGTGATAAAAGTGAAAAGTCAGAGCCAACAGTGGGAAAACGCATAAAGAGCGCATACTGTAAGCAATTTCGGTTAGAGAAAGATAATATCACCAGAAAGCGCAGGTTTGCATTTTTCTCTTCAGAATCGAGTTACTCGAGTCTGCAAACAAGCGAAAGTGAAAATTCTGATTACGAAAACGATTATTTTTCATCTTCAGAGCAAGACGAAAATAGCCCCCTAAGTATTGAAGCTAGCATAAGTGATAGTTCTGCGGAAAACTCCGACGATAATTGGGTTTTGCAAACAAATAAAGATAGTTCTATTAATAGGGCAACTGAAGAAACTGACGAATCCGATGGCAGCGTCGTCAGTATTTCGTCATCAATTAATGATATTAGCCAAACGGATGAAAGCCGTTCTTTATATGGAAGGACACTCGAAAGTGACAGTTATGATAATAAACACGACGATAACTCATTCTCGGAAACAGATGAAAACAGCTCGTCAACTGATGAATCAAGCGAAACCGAAGAAATCAATTCTCCAATTGATGAAATTAGCCTAAATGATGGTTTTGAAGACCACGATGAATCTTCCTATTCGGCAATAAATGGGGACAGTTCGTCAACTTACGAAACAAAAGAAACGAGGGAAGACCCTTCAAGTGAAGATTGTTGTGAAAGCGGTTGTACTGATGAAAGCTCTAGTGAAATTTCATCCTCAGAAACTGCAGAGAGCAGTGCATCGGAAAACAGCGGAAAACCTGGAAAGGACTCCGACGAAGGGGCTTCACGTTCTACTACAAAAACATCAGAAGAAAGCGACTACTCTGCAAATCCTACACCAGGCAAAATTGAAGGAAGTGAGTCCGCCACTTCAAATGAAGATCGTTTGTTTACAACCAAGAGCACCGATACTGATCAGCTTAAATCTTCAACTGGCAATGAGGAATCAACGCTCCATCCATATGCAAGCACCTCTTCCACGAAAGCGATAACAAGTCGTACGCCTAGTACAACTGAAGCAGTTGCGATCTACACTTCAACGGAAGAAATTTTATCTACAACCAAGAGCAAAGCTACTGATCAGATTTCATCTTCAACTGGCATTGAGGAATCAACGCTCAATCCATATGCAAGCACTTCTTCCACGGAATCGATAAAAAGTCCTACGGCTAGCACATCTGAAGCAGGAGAGATCTCTTCAACGG